TATACCATTTTCTTTGTTCATAAGAACTCTTTTTTTTTTTTAAATGTCATTATGTCTGAAAATTTTCCATCATCTTAATTCCTCAAGCTCAATCTTCAAAATACCTACCAAGACCAGCCTATTTGAATTGCTTGTATCAGTACAAAGAGATGAATTTAAAAATTATTTGTAGAAAGATTAGTATAAGACTAACTTACTTCCACAATGCACATAAATCTTATCCCACTATCAGCGAGCATACTATCTGATGATATTGTGAATGCAGACAATGGAGCTGCAAAGCGAGGTGAAAATGACATGCACTCATCAGCTTCTACCAAATCAAGGACAAGTTTTCTGGCCCGTCTAAAGTTCAATTCTAAAACTTCTTCAATAAAAGGCCACAACAGCACCAAAATCAATTTTGACAGTTTCAGGCCTTGCCGTTCCAGCATCAAAGAGTAGTTGAGACTAGCCTGAACACAAACGCTAGCTGCACGTAAGGCAGAAACTGTACTGGAAGATGGTGCATTCTCTTTCACTAACCGTACAAAGTATTCAATTTCCCACTCTGCCCATTGAACAACTCTGTTTGTATAAACAGGATTATCACCAAATATTGAACCAGACTTCATCGTTGCCAGTGAGATTGCAGAAAATACGAGCTTAGACAAAGTGGCTGGATATGTCTTTGGACAGACAGAACAAGAAGGAGAAAGAGCTTCAATGCTCTTCTCAAGACGGGACCCATAAAATTTCAGCAGTAACTGATGTGCCAAAGGACCTTTTCCAATCTTTATTAACCCACTTAAAGCCCTCTGCAACTCAGGAAAACTAACAAAAGGTTGTCCAGTAACCTCAACTAGCTGACCTTCGAGCACTGCTTTTCTTTTCAAGAAATCAGATCTGTATGAGGATCCTTCAGTTGATGAAGTATCTCCAGAGCTTTTCAGTTCTGGAGAGTTTCTCTCTTCAGAATCTAAAGCCTCTAATGCTTCTTCTACTTTATGCTCAGCTAAGAGAACATCAATTTTCTCCAAAACTATCTTGTGATCATCTGTCTCAATTGGCAAGGGATCCTGAAGTTCACCAATCTCAGGGTCTGGCTGGACTTCAGTAGTAGATTGATTCCATTCTTCCAATTGACGGCATACACCAGTCATCAAATCCTGCACAAGAATCCCTTGAGCTGAAATATGCTTTCGGAGCTCAACCAACTCATGTTCCATTTCTACAGCCTCCTCAGATATTCTGCAATTAGAATTAAGATAAGATCATGCATGCATGGATAGACAGGATTAATGAACGTATTAAATTGAATGAAAATCAAAGCAATGTACAGCTAAGAAAGAAAACAACTTTGGGCCATTTTGTGACCATGTTTCAGGGTTTTGAAAGGCAAGCCCAGACAGACCTCAAAATATGTTCTTGAAATAAAGGATTTAGAGATTTAAAGGATGCAGTGGATATCAAGGATCCATAGTTCTAAGTAATGAAAGTACGAAGGTGAGTAAGAATGGTCCATGCCCTTCTGGGGTTCCAACGTGTTTTCCCAAGAAAAGTGAGGTGGGAGACTTGGGGCAGTCATTTAAAGCCCTTTAACGTTAGACAACCCCACACACGTGACATACAATCCTCAAAGAGGAAAAAGGTTGGGATGTATGTTGAGTTGATACTAACCACACACATATTTCCTGTTAAATTAAACTATGCTCTCCGAGAAGTTTAGCTATCCTAGCATTCCCCTGCCCAAGAATCATGCCATGGAGAATTTGAGTTGCATAGCTGCAAAATGGATTAGACACTGTTTTATCATTCTGAATAAACTTTTTCAATGCCATATTATAATATATTTTTTAGGTTTCGAGTTATAAATCTAACATTTGATTTTCCACATCACCTTCGTGACCCCATTGCTTCAAGTTGTCAATTTGGTTGGTCCCGTCACATAATTATAAGATTACATAAAACTCAGAAGTTTTGTTTCCCATAAATTTTTTTCTTATAAGAAGATAATATATTTTATTACTGCTTTAGTCTTTTTAAAATTCTCATCAGGTCACCCATAAAACTCTTCATAATAGCAAATTTCTGCGAAGAAGCCCTTGATTTGAGTTGAATGAACCACATATGAGCCTAAAATTCTGGACCCCTTCTCTCTTTTTAAATAAGATAGCCTAAAACTCTGTAACTAGGCTAACTTCTTGTATATAAGATCACTGACCGACATTATTGTCGTGTATATGTTGTTACATACAGAGAAATTTTCATGTGGAAATCTTTGTTCCTTAAAGATTTTTCCTGTATTTTCTTTCCCTATGCCCACAAGCTCAAAAAGTAGATAGTACGCGTCAATTATTTCAAACTTGCAGACTTCGTACATGAACAACTTTGTAAATTTTTTTGTTTTCTTTTCACATATATAGTTCATGATTGTTTTATTGTTAAACAGGCATACAAATCATTCAGTGTCATTAAATTACCTCAAAAAAGCCAAGTACTTTGTTCGCATATTTCCACATAAGTTCTCCACTGCATCCTTTAAATCTAACAGCTCACAACATAGCTTTCTAATTCCCTGCATTCATAATATATGTATATGTTATAGGAGTGACAGCAACAATAACAACAATGATAATAACTGCTTATTGAAACAATACAACAGAAGCATCACCAGCAACACTTAAAAGAATAACTATAGCAAATAAATACTTGCAGCTTCCAACCTCAGACAGCAACTCACTGTCCAAATTGCGGCAAAGTCCATATATTTTTACCCAAACAAGCTTACAGAAAACAGAATGCATTTACTACATGTTCTCAAGTATGAAACGCCTGCTTATTCACTATATACACAAGTATAACTTGAAATAGACATCACCCAGATGGCAAATACAATTGTTCCCTCAAATTGTACTTAAGCCCAGAACAACAAGAAACAAATTCAGCTAAGAACTCAACATTATTGATTAATTTGAAATGGGCAATCCTCAAACTCCTCAAAGAGCTAGAAGCTGGGGTCCAAAAAAAATTGATCGCCCAAAAAAAAAACATGTGGAAGCGAAATGTTAAATCTTCCATGAACAACAAATGTGGGAGATTTAAAAAAAGAAAAAAAAAAGCATTTTCCTTTATTGATTTCAAACAATTTATCGTGAGCCGAATAGAGGGTTATGGAGGGAGGAAGAAGAAACCTTTTCAGTGTGGGATTGGTAAAGAGAGTCAACTTTAGACTGGGGAGTGATGCTCTCAATTGATGGGAAGTCGTCGTCTTCTTCGCTGCTCTCCATTTTCGACTTACGTTTGGGCTCTGCGTTTGCCTTTGCTCTCTTCGGGCTTGAGGCTTCAGCAATCGAAGCATATGAGAGAGACAGAGAGATGGCAAAATCGTTCGAAGAGTAAATATCAGACACCAACTTTAACTTATTTCATTTGTTTTCTGTCTGTTCACTCTTGATCTTATTTTTATTCACTTGCTAATTAAAAGTTAGTGCAATAATCTAATGTTTGTAATATTTATTGCGGATTTGAATATATATTCTTTTTTTAAACTTTTAATTGATGAGTTTTTTAATTCATAAAATAGAGAAAGAGTGAATTTCCAGTGACAGAGACAGAGAGTGAGAGACAATATTTTTCTTAATAATAAATACTTCTTGACCAAAGAGATCATCCTATGTTTACTTACTTATTTATTTATTTTGGAATACTAGAACTAGAGGTAACCTAAATTACAAGAAGAATTGATTTTTTTTTTTTCATACATATTATAAGGGTGTCGTAAAAAGACGTGGTCTATTTACAAAAAGACACCTGTTTTTTTTTTTCTTTTTTTTTCCAACTCTTTTCAACTCTTTTAACCCAAGTCTTTTTAACTTATGTCACGCTTCTCTCAAAGAGACCTCTTCTTTTGACAACCTAACTTTAGTCATCGGCGACATAAACCTCCGACTATCGGCCATGTAAATCTCCAATCACCGACAACATAAATCTCAGGCAGACTTCTCTCATTGTTTGATTAATTCTTCTGGGATGGTTACTCCAACAACATTGTTTCTGATGAGTGGGTTTCTTATATGTTTATATGGTTTATCAAAGTAGTCTACTTGTAATGAACTTATGTTGATAAATATATAAAAACATCTATTTGATTTGTAATATAATCTTTTCTTTTCTCCTTATAAGCTAACTAGGCTTTTAATTTTGGTGAAATCAATGGTTATAAGGTGCAGCCATGATTGGTGAGAGAAATCCCATCTCCTTTGGGTTTAGACTATCATTTGTACTTGATAGAAAAAAAAAAAAAAAAAAACAAGAAAACAAGTCTCCACTGTTACTTCAAGTTTTTAATTCCTTACAAAGCAGGGGTGGAACCACAGCCAAGGCTGTGGTGGGCTATACCCTAGGGAAGTATGCTGCCTTTCGGTTTTTAATCGCAAAATATGCTTCTTCTTTTTTTCTTTTTTTTTTCCCAAAGTCTTGTGTTTTTTTTTTTTATATGGAGTCTTTTTTATTTGGGAGATTCACTATTATACCAAATATAGGAGCCCAAATTATTTTTTTTTAAAAACCCCTATATGAAATGAATTTTAGAAACACACCAAAGCACATTTATAACATAATAAAGAGGCTTTTAACTTATTATAACTTCTTTTTGGGTTTGTTTATAGAAATTTAATGGTGTAGGGTTTATTTATATTATTAGTGCTAAGAATGGGAATATGAATAAATATCTCTTCTTCTTTTTTCTTTTTCTTTTTTGTGAAATTATCTGATGCCTTTGACAAAAGGTTTTTGAATAAGAAAAAAAAGCCTATATGGCTCACCATACTACAAAACATTAGGGAAATATTATTTTCTCAATTTTATTTGTATTCTCTTTCAAGAACGGAACAATATGTTAACCCAATTCTATTATTCTTGGGTTTACAACTAATATATAAATGAAACTTAATTATTTATATTTTTGCACTTTGCATTTGTGAAGCTTATTCGGTTGATGGCAATAAATTTTTAGGGATTCACATTGCAAAAGGTAAGATTTTTTTTGTAAAAAAAAAAAATCATTAGATTTTAAGCTAAAAATTTTAACTAGCGCATCCACTGAAAAACTCCTGATTCCGCCCTTGTCCCGAAGATGATGCGTTTGGAGCTGACTAATTTTCTCAAGTCCTCACTTGTGAGAACGAAGGCTGTTACTTTGGAGAGGCATTTGACATGTTTGTTGGAAATAGGGGGGTCCTTAAAATTTGGGTTTGACGCTGCCCAAGACACAAGTTCATGTCCCACAATATCACCTTCCTCGAAAACTGTGGTTTGGGAAGGAGTTTGGGGAGCAGCAGCAGCATCACTAGTTGGCTGGTACATCCGCAGAGAGCCTTCTATAATAATCATCATCCGCTCAATTGGGTGTAACGCTTCAACAACTAACGTATTCTCCTCGAACGTCTTTAGCTTCATTTTAGCTTCATTTTGTTGCAGATAATTTTCAACATTTCTTCCCCCATATCTCTAAGACGGTCTACCTATATATATATATACATCACAAAATTAGATTCTAATCCTTGCATAAGTTTCGACTCAGAAAAAAAAAAGGAAGAAGAAGAAAAAGAAAAAGGAGCTTATGTACTTTTTTTAGGATCTCCATGCAGAAATGGCGCTTGAGAAGTTTTCTCCCATAGTAATGAAGAATAGAGAACATATAATTCACATCCACTTTAACAGCATCTTTGTGTTCTACTAATTTGTTTTCATTTATTTGTTGCCAAATACTTTTCGCCAAAGCATTGTCACCTTCTGCTATCTGTGATATCCATATTCGTATCTCCTTTTTGCACTTAAGTATCTTGGCGTGATCAACTCCTTTTCCTTCACCTCATCTTCCAACGATTTTATTTTTGCCTGCTCCATATATATCTGTTTCACAACAAAACACAAAAATGTTGGAAGCTTAGTTCATCATATACTAATTGATTAAACTATGCTCTCCGAGAAGTTTAGCTATCCTAGCATTCCCCTGCCCAAGAATCATGCCATGGAGAATTTGAGTTGCATAGCTGCAAAATGGATTAGACACTGTTTTATCATTCTGAATAAACTTTTTCAAAGCCATATTATAATATATTTTTTAGGTTTCGAGTTATAAATCTAACATTCGTTTTCCAATCACCTTCGTGACCCCATTGCTTCAAGTTGTCAATTTGGTTGGTCCCGTCACATAATTATAAGATTACATAAAACTCAGAAGTTTTGTTTCCCATAAATTTTTTTCTTATAAGAAGATAATATATTTTATTACTGCTTTAGTCTTTTTGAAATTCTCATCAGGTCACCCATAAAACTCTTCATAATAGCAAATTTCTGCGAAGAAGCCCTTGATTTGAGTTGAACGAACCACATATGAGCCTAAAATTCTGGACCCCTTCTCTCTTTTTAAATAAGATAGCCTAAAACTCTGTAACTAGGCTAACTTCTTGTATATAAGATCACTGACCGACATTATTGTCGTGTATATGTTGTTACATACAGAGAAATTTTCATGTGGAAATCTTTGTTCCTTAAAGATTTTTCCTGTATTTTCTTTCCCTATGCCCACAAGCTCAAAAAGTAGATAGTAAGCATCAATTATTTCAAACTTGTGGACTTCGTACATGAACAACTTTGTAAATTTTTTTGTTTTCTTTTCACATATATAGTTAATTATTGTTTTATTGTTAAACAGGCATACAAATCATTCAGTGTCATTAAATTACCTCAAAAAAGCCAAGTACTTTGTTCGCATATTTCCACATAAGTTCTCCACTGCATCCTTTAAATCTAACAGCTCACAACATAGCTTTCTAATTCCCTGCATTCATAATATATGTATATGTTATAGGAGTGACAGCAACAATAACAACAATGATAATAACTGCTTATTGAAACAATACAACAGAAGCATCACCAGCAACACTTAAAAGAATAACTATAGCAAATAAATACTTGCAGCTTCCAACCTCAGACAGCAACTCACTGTCCAAATTGCGGCAAAGTCCATATATTTTTACCCAAACAAGCTTACAGAAAACAGAATGCAATTACTACATGTTCTTAAGTATGAAACGCCTGCTTATTCACTATATACACAAGTATAACTTGAAATAGACATCACCCAGATGGCAAATACAATTGTT